GGTTCGGTGGGCCCTTATATATAAGTCAGAAAACCGGGAACGAGTATTACGGGAACGAACAGAGGATTTGAATTGAAGGAGCTCAGAGATGTATGAAGGACGGTGTGATTGGATAACTTGAAATAGGAAAGATGCCAGGAAATATTTACGACGGTAGGAAGGATAAAGCCACTTCAACTCTGCATAAAAATGGGAAACAGAGGCTTCCCTTGGTATCCCGAAGATGAATCTTACAATGCAATTTTTAAACGTTTTAGTTTCGCCTCGAGATCCCCAGAGACGCCCCCATATACCGAACAACAATAGTCAAAGTGGGGGAAAATTAAAGAAGTGACTAGGAGCCTACGGGTTTCAAATGGAAATAGGTGACAAGAATAATTTAGACGTTTTAGAGTGGAGATGGTACGGCAGGAAATATTGGATACATGGTTTTTCCAGGAAAGTGTTTGATCGAAGGTTATTCCAAAGTTTTTGATGGTGGGGTAAATTGTGATGGGATTACCATGCAGGAACAGAGTTAGAATATTAGGAACGGTTTTAAGGAGGTAATTGGAGCCTATTAAGATTGCTTTCATCTTTCCCGCATTCAACTACAACTTGTTAGTTCTCGCCCAGTCACAAATCCTATTCAAGTCTTCTTGTAGTTTCTCTGTGGCAGACAATAGGTCGGAGGGCGGGAAGGACAGGTATATTTGGAAATCATCTGCATAGATATGGTATTGGGAGTGATGGATCATGAGAGGAAGGTCATTAATGTAGATAGCAAGCAGAGTAGCAGATAGAGAGGAACCTTGACGGACACCACAGGAGAGGGGAAGGGTCTTAGATGAAGGTTGGCCTGGGACTACTACATACTGGGACTGATTTGAAAGGAAGGATTTGAACCAGCGCAGGGAACTGTTGGATATAGGAATATTGTACAATTTTGTAAGGATGATCTTATGGTCAACTGTGTCGAACGCTTTGAAAAAATCTAGAAAGATGGGGATGGTAAGGTTTTGGTGTTCGATGGAGTTTTGGAGGTCATGGCTTATTTTAAGGAGAGCGGATTGCGTTGAGTAACCTGGTCAAAAGCCAGATTGGAATGGGTTAATAAGGGAACGTTCTTCTAGGAAGTTGGAGAGTTGATTTTGGACAAGGCATTCTAACGGCTTTGAGAGGTTGGATAGGAGAGAAATATGACGGAAATCGTGCAGTGAGGTAGGGTTGGAAATTTTATTCAAAGGTCGGGCTAGGGCGGTTTTCCAGGAGGATGGGAATATAGAGTTTTGCAGTGAAAAGTTGTAGATGTGGTAAAGAACAGGAATAAGGGCAGGAAGGCTGGATTTTATTAGTTATACTGGGATATTATCAGGACCATAATCATTAGTGTGGGATTTTAGGATAGTGGAAAGTAATTCATCATAGGTCACATTGGAGAAAAAGAAGTCTTCAGGGTTGAAATTGTAATGTTTAATATCGAAAGTAGGAGAAGAATTGTGAGTGAAGGATAGGAAATGGTCATTGAGATCATCTGGAGTCACCGGGATGGAACTGAGTTTATTGGATTCTGGTAGGGATAGGTTACGAAGTATTTTCCATTTGGATTTGGAATCAGGAGCATTGGAAAGGGCATTATGAAAGTAGGTGGCTTTAGCAAGTCGGATTGTGGATTGGGTTCCATTACGAAGTTTTTTAAAAGACGCATAATCGGCTGGCAAACGGGTTTGACGCCATTTGCGCCTTGCTGCATCCCTTCTTTTTATCATTTCCTTTATTTCAGGAGTCAGCCAAGGTGCAGTGAGACGACGTAAGGTTTTAGTTTTCAGAAGAGCATGGGTATCTAATAAGGATTGTAGGTTTGAGGTTAGGGTAGATACCATAGGATTAATAGAGTCATAGGAAGATATGATTTCCCATTGGAAAGAATCAAGGTCAGGTTGGAGGGATTCATAGGACAGAAGGTTTAAATTACGGTATGAAACTATTTTGGGTGTAAAGGATTTCACGGGTAGGTCGTATGTAATTTGGATCAGGTCGTGAGATGAAAGAAATGGAACGGGGTGTTGGGAGGAGGGGAGGATTTTGATGTGCGAGTCAGAAATGTAGAGGTCTAACCAGGTGTCGGAAAATTGCGTGTGATGGGTAGGAGAATAAGGGACAAGATAAAGATTAAGGGAAAACAGTAGGTCGGTTAGGAAGTATTTTTCAGGAGATTGTGAAAGCATATTCACTTTGAAATCGCCGGTGATAATAATATTGGTATAGTTGGAAACCAGGTCAGTAAGGGAAGATTCAAAAAGGTTGTCAAATGGGACACGAGGAGGGCGGTAAACTACGGCATACAACAGAGGAGAGGGAATATAGGAAATTGAACGAACATGTATTCCACGTGAGGAAAATCATGATGAGGAGACTGTAGAAGGATTTTGGCCTTAAGACTGTCATGGATATATAATCCAACACCAACTCCAATTTCAACATTTTTGAGCGATGTCATTTTAGTGATATTTTTAGTTGAAAAAGTTATCTATGCAGACAATGAGTAAGTTGATTCCAGAGGTGATGATTGCAGTGTTGAAATATAGAACTGAGAATAAAGGTATAAATTTAGGTACTTATTTCTTATGAAAGATGTTCTTAGGAAAGACACATTATTAAATATCTGTAGAAAAAAAGTTTTTTTTAGTCTCAACAATTAAAAAACTATATTTTAAATTTATCCAAATTTTCGTCTCTTCAGGGAAAAAAACTGGAGGCCATATCTGTCCTCTTAATTGTCCGATTTTAACAATTTTTTTATTTTAGGAAATTCCACAAACTTTAACAATATCCCAAAAAAAGCGTATATTTTTTGAGTTATTCAGAATTTAATTTTAACATCCCTGGTAACTTTTTTTCTAGCTTCTTTTCGTTGAAATATGTTATATAGATAAATTTAAAGGGTATCTAGAAAATGACTTTAGCGAAGTTTCATTGAAATCGGTACATTCATTTAGGCGCTACAGTCTATAGCAACGCAGGTTTTTCTGCATTTTTTTTTCTCCTTTATTAACTTATCAAATTCTTTCAAACGTTATATGTAGCATTTTTTCGTAACTCTGAATAATGCGAAATGGTTAACTTTTTAAAATAAACCATATTAAAGGTACTTTAGAGGAAGACATATATGAACATTAGGCATTTATGCCCTGTAAAGTGGCATCAATGGGGATAAGACCTAAATGAAATTAAAGACCACTTAATTATACAGTGATACACCGAGTTTGATCAAAATCGTTAGAGCCGTTTTTGAGAAAATTGTAAAAATGTGTTTCAGCATTCATATAAAGTGGCACTTCCGGTTAGCCGATTTTAACGAAAAAGTTGCTGTCACATCCGGCCCTTATACAAACCTTAAATACTTAATATCAGTTTCGTACTACTTTTCGTTTATGAGCTAGATTGTTAACACACACACAGACCATTTTGCGACACTTGGTTATTTGAACTCAGGGGACCTAAAAACATGTATTTCCGTTGAAAATTGAGATTCGAAAATTTTCACGATCGCAATACTTACCCTTACTATATATTGTAAGGGTATTGTATTGTATATATACTATATATTGTATATACTATATACTATACTATATATTACTACATATATACGTAAGTGAAAGTAATAAAAAAAGCTACATTTATGCAAAAATAAAAAAAACTGAATTTAAAAAAATAAAATAAGAACATTTCTGACGAAAATAAATGTATACAAAAATTAAAAAAGCTTCAATATAAATAAGAAAATAAAAAAAGCTACATTTATGCAAAAATAAAAAGAACCTGAATTTAAAAAAAATAAAATAAGAATATTTCTGGCGAAAATAAATGTATACAAAAATAAAAAAAAGCTTCAATTCAAATAAAAAAATAAAAAAAGCTACATTTATATAAAAATAAAAAAACCTGAAGATAAAAAAAATAAAGTAAAAATATTTCTGGAGAAAAAAAAAAAAAATTAAATGCAGACTCAGGGTAACTTGTAAACAACGTTCAACTGAATACGTCCAGGTCACTGGGTTTTCCTATAATCACCGGTGGGTATCCATCTGACTGCCTGCAGCGTATTTTACCTCCACTAAACCAAATATATTTTATTTTTGCAGTCAATTTCTTCTGCCTGGCTAACCAATAGAGGTGTTTATTGGTGGGCGTCAGGGCTTCACTCACATAAACGCGGTGAGAGTCATTCTCTCCCCAGCCTAGATGTCGTGTGAAGAAATCTCGCATTGTTCTTCGCTGCCGCACTAGCTCATCTTTCACCGTGTCTAACAAATCTTGCGATGATTGGGCTTGGTCTCCCTTCCTGCTTGGGCTTGAGTCTCACGGCGTGATCAAGATCTTCTGAACTCAGCTTGACGCCCAGACCCACCCCAACGCTAAGAATTGTGCCAGTCACCGTTTCACCCGGCTTCTCTGGGATTCCTCTTATTTCTATAGTATTTTTTAACTGAAATTGTTATGTAGAGTTCAGTTGACTTTCCAGATTATAGGGAGTACTTAAACAAATAATAGTACCCAAAATGAAATATAAATAAATATAGCGTCTATAATTTTAACTTTTACTTCCCCTTTGTTTAAAATACTTCTTTCTGCTAAGAGGGTGATAAGTGAAAGTTGTGTGATGTGCGCACCAGATGTTTTTAGAGATAGTTCTGTAATAAATTTAATCAACTTTTATTCCTTATATGGAATAATGCTCTAGGTATCACTGTGTATTTTCTAAGATGAAAACTTAGGACTATCAATGATGCATTTAATACTCTAATGAAACATCACTACACAAAACTTGTAAGACAGATTTTTCCATTTTCTACATATCTCTACATTTTTATTTTATACAGATTTTATTTATTTTATATGACCAATCTATTTCCTTCTTGATCTCCTTTATTTTCTGTATATAAATATATTCTCTTCTTTCATCTTTATATATTTTTTATTTTAAACCAAAAGTTTTATGGTTGTTTCTTTAATTTTAGATAATACTCAACAGCAATCAGTTTCTTTACCACAAACATCTAGTTCGATCCTAAGCAGTGTACTTGCATCAAGATTGGGAATATCCTTACCCAATCCTGCACCAGAGGTTGAGATGATTAGGCATGTAGCTGTTGCACCAGTTGTCGTCAATCAGGTATCATATTTGTAATTTCTTTAGGTAGATCAATTTTAGTGAGAGATCAGTCAAGGTCAACATCATAAAATACAAATAAAAAGGTATATTTTAATTATATATTTCAATGTCTCTTTCTTTAAAAGTAATAATAATTGTGGAAACTCACTTTAATATTGGAGTGTCCAGATCCCAAACTAAAACGTCCTAAAACAAATAAAAAGATTATTAATGAGAACAAAATTTTAAACTTTATTATATGAAATTGGAATTTACAATTATTTTATCTCGGGGCATGGTTTATCTGACAATCAGACCAAACTCTTAGAATACCAAAACTATCTTTCTCCTTTATTGAGGAACATAGATAAAAAAATGTTTATATTCAATATTAAACAGCTTAAAATTATCTAACATTTTTTTTTAAACCCAACAGGAAGCGAACTATCGAGCTTTCAAAATTTAATCATTTTGATTTCTTCATAATAGTGCTCTTTCAGTTTTGAATGGAATTATTTTGTAATTCTATTTTGAATCTCGTTCAGAGGATTCACAGATATTATTTGAAGATAATGAGCCATTGACTGGAACGGTAGACGGTAGTCGAGAGGTGTTTTGAGAAGTATGTTACACGTTGAACCAGACCCCCTACCTTACATCCTTCACACACATCCCAATAAATTGCATACAGTTGTGTTTCTTGTAACTATTTATTAAAAAAAAGACAATTTTCCAATGAAAAAAGTGACCACACTGTCTCAAAATGTTAGATAATTTTAAGCTGTTTAAGATTGAATATAACCATTTTTTATCTATGTCGCTTTAAAAAGGAGATATTTAGCATTAAACAAAAAAAGTTAAAAATTTCAATGGTTTTTGGAGCACAGCAGTGAACCCTACAAGGCCTTCAAAAGCGAAAAATGGGATTTTTTTTTTTAGTCTCTGTATACCTAACAATATAAAAAAGAAATTTGAATTACCTGACCTTTTGCAAGTTAGACCCCTTTTTTGTGCTAATTTGACTCGGCTAAATCCTATTCTGGGTATCACCTAGAGATGGGCAAAATTGTACTCTGAGTAAAAAGTACAATTACAGAGTAATTTACTCAAATACTCGCCCGGTTCGAGTATCGAGTACTTTAATCACTACTCGACCTCATGATTGACGAGTACAAAAAGTAATCAGCTGTCCTCGTCAGTACTTTCTATTTTCAAATCAACTCAGCAATATTTTACTCTGAGTACTTTTCAAAGTAATCGAGTATTTCATTATAAAAATTACAGGAGTAGAATATTTAATATTTCTTCCATGTTTAAGTCCATTGTTATCTTATGGGGTATAGTTTTTTAATATAGAATCGATATTAATGTAAATCGATAAAATAAAGAATTATTAAAATTATTATTATTAATTAAAATTATTAGGGTAGACTCCAATGTTTTGGGGGCCGCTTTTTATGATAATGCTGTCGGATTTGAGATTGGGCCCCCCAGGCCTCGACTTTTTTTAACTTTTTGGATTAAATCGATATCAGGGCCGACTCTTATGTTTTTAGGGACGCTTTTTATGATAATGCTGTCGGATTTGAGATAGTGCCCCCGCGGTCCAACTTTTTGTAACTCTTCGGATTATATCGACATCAGGGTCGACTATTGGGTTTTGGGGGGCGCTTTTAATGAAAATGATATCGAATTTGAGATTGGGCCCCTGGGGCCTCGACTTTTTTTAACTTTTTGGATTAAATGATTATTAGGGTCGAATCTTATGTTTTTGGGGAAGCTTTTTATGGAAATGATATAGAATTTGAGATTGGAGCCCCCGGGTCCGGACTTTTTCAATTTTTTGGGTTAAATCGATATCAGGGTCGACTCTTATGTTTTTGGGGACGTTATTTATGAAAATGATATTGAATTTGAGATTGGGGCCCCCGGGCTCCGACTTTTTTAACTTTATGGATTAAATCGATATCAGGGTCGACTATTATGTTTTGGGGGGCGCTTTTTATGAAAATGATATCGAATTTGGGATTGGGCCCCCGGACTTCGATTTTTTTTAACTTTTTGGATTAAATCGATATCAGGGTCGACTATTATGTTTTGGGGGGCGCTTTTTATGAAAATGATATCGAATTTGGGATTGGGCCCCCGGACTTCGATTTTTTTAACTTTTTGGATTAAATCGATATCAGAGTCGGCTATTATGTTTTGGGGGCGTTTTTTATGAAAATGATATCGAATTTGGGATTGGGCCTCCCGGGCCTCGGCTTTTTTTAACTTTTTGGATTAAATCGATATCAGAGTCGATTATTATGTTTTGGGGGCGTTCTTTATGAAAATGATATCGAATTTTGGATTGGGGCCCCCGGACGTCTACTTTTTTAAACTTTTTGGATTAAATCGATATCAGGGTCGACACTTATGTTTTGGAGGGCGCTATTTATGAAAATGATATCGGATTACGAATTATTTTCATAAATTTTGAGATAGTGCCCTCGTGGGCCCAATCTCAAATCCGACACCATTTTAATAAAAAGCCCCTCCCCCCTAAACCTAATAATTGACTTTAATATCGATTTAATCTGAAATGTTACAAAAATTCAGGGTTCGGGGGCCCAATCTCAAATTTGATATAACTTTCATAAAAAGCGCCCCCCAAAACATAGGAGTCTACCCTGATATCGATTTAATCCAAAAAGATAAAAAAAGTCGAGGCCCGGGGGCCCAATCCCGAATTCGATATCATTTTCATAAAAAGCGCCCCACAAAACATAAGAGTCGACCCTGATATCGATTTAATACAAAAAGTTAAAAAAAGTCGAGGCCCGGGGGGCCCAATCCCGAATTCGATGTCATTTTCATAAAAAGCGCCCCCCAAAACATTAGAGTCGACCCTGATATCGATTTAATCCAAAAAGTCAAGGGCCGCGGGCCCAATTACGAATTCGATATCATTTTCATAAAAAGCGCCCCCCCCCCCAAAACTTTATAGTCCAACCTGATAACAATTTAATCCAAAAAGTTAAAAAAGTCGAGGCCCGGGAGGCCCATTTTCAAATTCGATTACATTTTAATAAAAAGCCCCCCCCCAAAACCTAATAATTGACTCTAATATCGATTTAATCTGAAATGTTACGAAAATTCGGGGTTCGGGGGCCCAATCTCAAATTTGATATAACTTTCATAAAAAGCGCCCCCCAAAACATAGGAGTCTACTCTGATATCGATTTAATCCAAAAAGTTAAAAAAAGTCGAGGCCCGGGAGCCCAATTTCGAATTCGATATCATTTTCATAAAAAGCGCCCCCCAAAACATAATAGTCGAACCTGACAACGATTTAATCCAAAAAGTTAAAAAAAGTCTAGGCCCGGGGGGCCCAATCTCAAATTCGATATCATTTTCTTAAAAAGCGGCCCCCAAAACATAGGAGTCTACCCTGATATCGATTTAATCCAAAAAGTTAAAAAAGTCGAAGTCCAGGGGCCCAATCCCGAATTCGGTGTCATTTTCATAAAAAGCGCTTCCCAAAACCTAATAATTGTCTCTAATATCGATTTAATCTGAAATGTTAGAAAAAGTCGGGGTCCGGGGGGCCTAATCTCAAATTTGATATCATTTTCATAAAAAGCGCACCCCAAAACATTAGAGTCGACCCTGATATCGATTTAATCCAAAAAGTTAAAAAAGTCGAAGTCCAGGGGCCCAATCCCGAATTCGGTGTCATTTTCATAAAAAGCGCTTCCCAAAACCTAATAATTGTCTCTAATATCGATTTAATCTGAAATGTTAGAAAAAGTCGGGGTCCGGGGCGCCTAATCTCAAATTTGATATCATTTTCATAAAAAGCGCACCCCAAAACATTAGAGTCGACCCTGATATCGATTTAATCCAAAAAGTAAAGGACCGCGGGCCCAATTCCGAATTCGATATCATGTTCATGAAAAGCGCCCCCCCCCAAAACATAATAGTCGAACCTGATAACGATTTAATCCAGAAAGTTAAAAAAAGTCGAGGGCCGGGAGGCCCATTTTCAAATTCGATAACATTTTCATAAAAAGCGCCCCCAAAATTTAAGAGTTGACGCTGATATCGATTTAATCCAAAAAGTTAAAAAAAAGTCGAGGCTCGAGGGGCCCAATCCAGAATTCGATATCATTTTCATAAAAAGCCCCACCAAAACATAATAGTCGACCCTGATATCGATTTAATCCAAAAAGTTAAAAAAAGTCGAAGTCCGGTGGCCCAATCCCGAATTCGGTGTCATTTTCATAAAAAGCGCTTCCCAAAACCTAATAATTGTCTCTAATATCGATTTAATCTGAAATGTTAGAAAAAGTCGGGGTCCGGGGGGCCCAATCTCAAATTTGATATCATTTTCATAAAAAGCGCACCCCAAAACATTAGAGTCGACCCTGATATCGATTTAATCCAAAAAGTCAAGGACCGCGGGCCCAATTCCGAATTCGATGTCATGTTCATAAAAAGCGCCCCCCCAAAACATAATAGTCGAACCTGATAACGATTTAATCCAAAAAGTTAAAAAAAGTCGAGGCCGGGAGGCCCATTTTCAAATTCGATAATATTTTCATAAAAAGCGCCCCCAAAATTTAAGAGTCGACGCTGTAATCGATTTAATCCAAAAAAGTCTAGGCCCGGGGGGCCCAATCTCAAATTCGATATAATTTTCTTAAAAAGCGGCCCCTAAAACATAGGAGTCTAGCCTGATATCGATTTAATCCATAAAGTTAAAAAAAGTCGAGCCCGGGGGCCCAATCCCGAATTCGATATCATTTTCATAAAAAGCCCCACCAAAACATAATAGTCGACCCTGATATCGATTAAATCCAAAAAGTTAAAAAAAGTCGAGGCCCGGGGGTCCAATCCCGAATTCGATGTCATTTTCATAAAAAGCGCCCCCCAAAACCTAATAATTGACTCTAATATCGATTTAATCTGAAATGTTAGAAAAAGTCGGGGTCCGGGGGGCCCAATTTCAAATTTGATATCATTTTCATAAAAACCGA